CTAATCCTACCCATCTCCGCCCCCTGATCCCTAACCCCACCCCTAATCCTACCCATCTCCGCCCCCTGATCCCTAACCCCACCCTAATCCTACCCATCTCCACCCCCTGATCCCTAACCCCACCCTAATCCTACCCATCTCCACCCCCTGATCCCTAACCCCACCCCTAATCCTACCCATCTCCGCCCCCTGATCCCTAACCCCACCCTAATCCTACCCATCTCCACCCCCTGATCCCTAACCCCACCCTAATCCTACCCATCTCCACCCCCTGATCCCTAACCCCACCCTAATCCTACCCATCTCCGCCCCCTGATCCCTAACCCCACCCCTAATCCTACCCATCTCCACCCCCTGATCCCTAACCCCACCCTAATCCTACCCATCTCCGCCCCCTGATCCCTAACCCCACCCCTAATCCTACCCATCTCCACCCCCTGATCCCTAACCCCACCCTAATCCTACCCATCTCCGCCCCCTGATCCCTAACCCCACCCCTAATCCTACCCATCTCCACCCCCTGATCCCTAACCCCACCCTAATCCTACCCATCTCCACCCCCTGATCCCTAACCCCACCCCTAATCCTACCCATCTCCACCCCCTGATCCCTAACCCCACCCTAATCCTACCCATCTCCACCCCCTGATCCCTAACCCCACCCTAATCCTACCCATCTCCGCCCCCTGATCCCTAACCCCACCCCTAATCCTACCCATCTCCACCCCCTGATCCCTAACCCCACCCTAATCCTACCCATCTCCACCCCCTGATCCCTAACCCCACCCTAATCCTACCCATCTCCACCCCTTAGATCTGGATCCAACTCCGCCCCCTGGATATCGTGTACTGCAATGAGGTGCTACTGTGTTTACACGGACTAGAGGTCAACCAGCATAAACTGGTCAAGGAGAAGTGTTTTTATCGTTAAAAAAAGAAAGAAAAAAAGACACACTTCAGCTTTGACAAAAGCTTGTCAAAAATGTAAATACCCTTCATGTATTTCTCTCATTCAATATCAGTCATTCAGCTCTTCCAAGTTATTCCCTCCTCATTATTGTGGCTGGTGGCCCATCACAGGACGACCCGTTCGCATCGGTCTCATCAGAGCTACAAAGCAGTTTTCAAAGATCCACAGGTCCGCTCGGCTCTATGTGATTGTGTGAGTATGTTTGTGTGTGCGTGCGTGCAGAGACTGCAGATGGTCGTTCTCTTTGAAGGCACTGCAGCTGAAAGAGCCTCTGAGGTCCACTCCACTATAGAAGAGGACTGACGCAAAAATAAAGGCAAGCACAAAACTGAACCTCGCTTTCACCGTACGTATGCGTTTTCCATCTCCCAACTGCCATGGATCCAGTTCCAATACATCTAAAATGGTTTGATTAGGGAAACCCTTGGTGTATATACATCCTTTTGATGGTAAGAACTGAGTTATCTTCACTCAGTGTTGCACCAGGCACTCGGTGTAATTCAGGATTTGTCTTGCGTTTCAGGGCTGCGTGACATATGGGTGTCTGGTAAACAGTATAGCCCATCTGCTCGGAGAAGATCCATAAAGAAAAACGGCCGTGTGATTTAATACTGTGCAATGTCCCATTCTCATATGATATTGAAGGATACGTTAAACGCAGAGAAACTAAACTCTTCATCAAAGGTCTGTCTGGTACCTGCAACCCGATTGGAGGAGGGCGAGTGGGCGTAACCTTAATGTGCTTTTGTAATGTCCCAGCTGACCTCGACTATTCAGGATAGGCTTAAAACAGAGAGGCGGAGGTCTCATGAGAACCAAGCCAACAATAAATGTGTTATGGGGCATCCGATTGCAGTGTTGCCAGTGAATGGATGGTTGATCATAATTATGGGGAAGCAGGAGAAATGACCAGTGTGAAAGGAGATGGGCGGCATGCATCAGCGAGTGCCTGTGAAAGCCGCGTGCGCACCCACTCATTCATACCGCTTTACTTACTGCTGCCACGCTGCCAAAAATGGCATTTCCCTTCCCATCTCACAATCAACGGCTAACTAGTCAGAAATGTTTCATCTGCCAAATTATATCTCTTTATTCTTCCGCATAAACATCCTGTTGGAGAAGGTCTGCACTTAAAAATGAAAGGGACGAGATTCTGTAAAAGGGAAGGGCTGGTCGAAATCAAGTGCGTTTCACAAGAGCAGATGGAGGTTCCAGCACAGATGACTCTCAATGGGTGAGAGCTGTACGGGCTCCAAATGCCATTGAGCCACCTAGTACATAGTCATAATGCACAACGGAAAAACATTAGTACAGGCTGGAGGTGGGCTTGATAAACACAGGGAGGGAGGAAGTGAGAGAATAAATGCAAGAGTAACATCTTAATAAGTAGGACCCAGGGATTGTTTAACACTTTCTCCTATACCAGTTTATTGTGGAGAGACTAAATAGCTATTTGTAGGTTGACTTTTTCCAAAGAGTGTACATAGGGCCTCTTATATGTTTGTTTGAGTGGTGCAACGTGTCAACTTCTGGCTCAAACACAAGATTTTTTTTGTACTTCATAGCACCTATGCAACGTTTGGGCGTTGGACATGCACATTTTTGAGAAAAGGTGATCCTTCAGAAATCATTTTAGTATTCTGATTTGGTGCTTAAGAAACATATACAGTATTATTATTATCATCAGTGATGAAAATAATTTTGCTGTTTAAGATTTTTGTGGAAATTATGATACATTTTTTTTCAGGATTCTTTGATGAACAGAAAATTTTAATTTTGTTTCTAATACTTTAAAAGTCTTTAATGTCACTTTTGATCAATTGAATGCATCCATGTTGAGTTCCTGATCAAGGGTGTTGAATAGCTGTGAGGGTTAGCTTACATTAAACACTACATGACAAGAGTGAAGAGCCTAAACCACACGCAGACACACACATCTATCTTTGTGAGGGCATTCATTGACACAGTCTCTAGCTCCACCCTAACCTTGCCCATCACAACAAAGTACCTAACCTGAACCCTTACCCTAAACCTCCCCTTAACCTTATAACCGTATCCCTAAAACTAAGTCTTGACCCTCAAACAGGCCTTTAAAGGGGTCTCAGAATAGCCTGGTCCCACCAGACTCTCGTCCATTTCATTTGAACAGAGAGTCTGGCCTCGCTCCATTGACAAGCGTTAACTTCCTGGTAGGCGGGTACTCTGTTAAATTTGAAAACTATTGGATCTGCCATAACCAATCGCTAACGTTTGGTCGTGACGTATGACGACTCAAACCACTCAAACTAGCGCACGACATCAATGCCATCGTTCTCAGCCACTCGCTCTGTTCGCTGATTGGACCGGTAAAAAATTGACCGGAGAAAACCAAAAAATACACCACAATCCCAGACGTAGTACTGAAGGAAAATTAAAATTGAGCGGAAGTACGTAGGAGCCAGGCTAGTCTCCGAAAGTGAGGACTGGCCAAATTGTCCTCACTTGACTCTCTTTGTCCTCACTCCGATGGTCTAAAACTCAAACTGGTCCTCACAAAGATAGTTAGTTGTACAAGTACACACACACACGTTGTGTTTTCATATTTTATGGGGACTTTCCATAGACATAATGATTTTTAAACTGTACAAACTGTATCTTCTATCCCCTTACACTAACCCTACCCCTAAACCTACCAATCACAGAAAACGTTATGCAGTTTTACATTTTCAAAAAACACTTAGAATAATTTATAAGCTGTTTTCCTCATGGGGATCAAAAAATGGATTTCGGATATTGCCATCTTTGAAGAGGTTTTCCAGACCACACACACACACACACACACACACACACACACACACACACACACACACACACACACACACACACACACACACACACACACACACACACACACACACACACACACACACACACACACACACACACACACACACACACACACACACACACACACACACACGTTTCATTATATTATAAGGACATTGCATAGACTTCCATTGATTTGATATCAGGTTATCACATTTTATATCCCCTAACCCAACCCCTACCCCAAAACATCACAGAAACATGCAAAGCATGATTTATAAGCATTTTTTAATTAGTGAGGACCAGTAAAATGTCCTCACTATTCGGTTGTCATAATATTTCACCATATAAGTTAGGACATTTTGCCTTCAAGTATAGCCAAACCCCTCACACAAACACACACGCAAGCCCGCCCGCCCACACACACACACTCTCTTTCTACCTGATTTATGGTAGTGCACACAGGCACTATATACAGGCGGCTGCTTTGCTCCATGTCAGACACAAAGATAAATTAATACCCACATGGGAGTGAAAGCGCCCATAGCATTCATCTCATTCTTAAGCCTTGAATATATGTATGGGGGCGAGACATGGCCACAGACATCTCTGGTCTCCTAAACTGAAGACCACATGCATATAAACACCCACCTACTCGCAAGAGAACAAATAAGAGCGATGCAGCCTCTTTGCGCTTCACAGTGAAAAATGACCAATCAAGAGTGAAATGTACCTTTACATGGTAAAGAACTAGAAACGAACTAACCTGTGATAAATGCATCATTCATCATGAATACTTAATAAACAGCCATTATTTAACATCTGCTCATGGGTAAGCACTTTGTCTTAATGGAAGATAATCTGTCTTGTCAGAGGAACAATGAGTGAGCCAACCAAAAGGAAAGATACCAACAGTGAAAGGAGAAAATGATGTCAAATGAGCCACAGGAAGTTTTATATCTCATAGGACAGATATAAACATGACACACAAGGAAACACACACAAAGGAGACTGTAAAAATAGTCTTTACAACTAGAATTTACCAGTGTACATTTTTTTTCTGCTATGTTAAGATCAATGAAACTTTTTTGCACACTTCATAGAATCCACTACAGCGGGTAAGTTGTATGAGTGTTACTGGAGTGAATCAATGGAGGTTCAACAGGAGAGGCAGGAAATTTGCTTGGGAAGTGGAGAAGTAGTCAATAGAGAGTAATAAAACTTACCTTTTTGTATCTGGGTACAGGGAGCTACACTCCATCACAACAATTTACAGCATGCAGCCAAGCCATGCAGAGAGAGAAAAGTGTGCATGCAAGATAGAAAAGGTGGAAGAAAGAGCATAAGTTTGGAAAACAGACAACACAAAAAACATGATGTAAAAGATAAACAGCATGTGACAATAAAAGAGAGGAAAGAGAAAGCACCCAGGAGGTTTGACCCATGTTTTTTTTTTTTTTAGTACGTGGAGTGTAGATATTGTAAATTTAGATATTTTAATTTTTTTAATCTGTGTGACTCAATCTGATCAGTCAGTACAACCCTAAATTTAGCTGTCATGAAGTGATGGAGTGTTCGGAGGTGTTTCACAGCAAAAAAAAAAACAAATGTAAATGCTGTTAGATCAACCCCCAATTTTATCTTCAGAGGATGTCAGAGCAGCATCTTTGTTCTAAATAAATTCTCAGTTGGAAAGTTGTACTTAGTGCCCATAATTTACACGAGAACACATCACATCATTTAAATTAGGAAAATCACCTGAGAAAGAAAAGTTGGAGGTGGAATTCGTCAGTCAAATAAAACTTATTGTAACACTTTTGAATGTGTACTGACTAGCACGCAAGAGAGCGACACCACGGGCCAAACAAATAATGAGAATTAATATCATTTCATTAAAAAGTAGCATGTTAATTTGCTGCCTGGGGGTTCAATTAAGTATCCATGTATCTAGTTTAATGCTTCATTTCTGTTTAAGGAGCAAACTCTTGACAAATGCACCCAAAGAATCGAGGCATGAAAAAACTTCTCCTTTTCCTGCATGTTTGGTGAACAGATTTCTGTTAAATATAGTGGCTAAATAATAACAAAATAAATGTCACTGATAAATGTAACATTGACTGTTTTATCTTACTTTTAAGCAGTATATTGATGCCATTTTTATTCTATTTTAATGAAATACTTTGCTTGAAAAGTGTGGCCGGCGCTGGCAGAACCCTGGGAAAATGGTGATGGGTGAAGCGTGCCATTGAATTGGGGTCAACCAAAAGAAGGGAGGTTTTCTTTAATGGAGGCTGTGGTTTAAAAAGGCTGTGTCTGGCTGCAGTGAACGTTAAGGTCGGAGCAGATGCGTCCTTGTGTGAAACACAACATGGGCTATATGCGCACTGAAATGGATCTTGGAAGGCACCTTTGTGAGGGGTGAATGAATGAATGTTTACATTTCTCTTTCTAATCACGTTTGTCTGTTCAGAAGGACGAATGGCCTGATAATGACTTTGGTGGCGACTTGTAGATGATATATATTTCAGTTTATTACAGTTCCGGTTCTCAAATCTGATTGGCTGAGCGGCATTCCAAGGGTGATGATACACAGTCCAACAACACTGTTAATATTCAATCCACTTGTCTTGCTCACAACAGTCCAGATCAGAGTATGTGAGTGGTGTGCAATGAAAGTGGAGTGGGTGCTGCTTATAATTGTGCTTATTAGGAGTATGACATGCACTGACACCAAACTCTATAGAGTGAAACTTTTGGGATCTGGAAGTAATTTTTTTTTTTTAGAAAAATCCATTTATTTTCTCTATAGCGGAATTGATTTTTAATGATATATTATAAACCCTTAAAGAAAGACGTGCTGTGGCCAACTAAGTTGTTAATTGATGGTATATGCTTTTGTTGGAGCCATCAGCCCAATTTATTTTATGTTTAATAGCAGTATTCCATGTGAAAAACTACATTGATTCTGCAAAGAAATCTCTTCCAATCAAAGAATTGTGTCAACAAAATGACGGTAGAAGAGCCTTTAGCTCCCGCCCTCTCAAATGAAGCACGGCAAATGCCGTACAGTAATAGAGTCTTTCTCCCTACACTCTTGAACTACTTAAATATTTGCATATATTTGCATATTTTGCAATCAACTTTAAATATATCGTTTCTATGTAATAAACGTCTTCAAATCAATAGTTTTATATTTCTCCCATTTAAATTCAATTGTCATTTTCAATATTTAGGATTGTAGGACACTTAAAATAAAGTAGGAACATGTGGCACAACAAAGTCATTTTATTTACAGACTGTAAATTTGATTCAATCACAAAGTGATGTAAGCGGGAGTAATCTCCATATAAATACCAGCAGGGAAATTCCTGGTAAGGCAAATGTTTTTTTTGTGATGGTTCTGCTCTGACTACAAATACCCCATTATCTGTATTTCTGGATGTGTAAACCCCTGTAATCCCCTGTGTGTTCTGACGGTGCATGTCTCTGGATCGGCGCTTATCACGGAATACCAACACATTCACCCCGACACCCCACCTCGCCTCATATCCAACCACCTGCAACACTCATTCCACAAAACATTACTTTTTGTATTGATCTTCTGGTGATATTAGATACGGATAGGTCATTCTAACCATGTTTGCCACACATGCTACTTACAGTCTGATCCTTTCAAGAACAGCCAATAGGAGACAGATTTAAAAGACTGCAGAACCCAGCGCACAGCGCTGTCCATGGTCCTGAGCTATATTCTGACCTTGCCATATGAATTAAGTGAACTGAAAGATTGATCATGGGTTGGAAACTACACTCACCTAAAGGATTATTAGGAACACCATACTAATACTGTGTTTGACCCCCTTTCGCCTTCAGAACTGCCTTAATTATACGTGGCATTGATTCAACAAGGTGATGAAAGCATTCTTTAGAAATGTTGGCCCATATTGATAGGATAGCATCTTGCAGTTGATGGAGATTTGTGGGATGGACATCCAGGGCATGAAGCTCCCGTTCCACCACATCCCAAAGATGCTCTATTGGGTTGAGATCTGGTGACTGTTGGGGCCATTTTAGTACAGTGAACTCATTGTCATATTCAAGAAATCAATTTGAAATGATTCGAGCTTTGTGACATGGTGCATTATCCTGCTGGAAGTAGCCATCAGAGGATGGGTACATGGTGGCCATAAAGGGATGGACATGGTCAGAAACAATGCTCAGGTAGGCCGTGGCATTTAAACGATGCCCAATTGGCACTAAGGGGCCTAAAGTGTGCCAAGAAAACATCCTCCACACTATTACACCACCACCACCAGCCTGCACAGTGGTAACAAGACATGATGGATCCATGTTCTCATTCTGTTTACGCCAAATTCTGACTCTACCATCTGAATGTCTCAACAGAAATCGAGACTCATCAGACCAGGCAACATTTTTCCAGTCTTCAACTGTCCAATTTTGGTGAGCTCTTGCAAATTGTAGCCTCTTTTTCCTATTTGTACTGGAGATGAGTGGTACCCGGTGGGGTCTTCTGCTGTTGTAGCCCATCCGCCTCAAGGTTGTGCGTGTTGTGGCTTCACAAATGCTTTGCTGCATACCTCGGTTGTAACGAGGGGTTATTTCAGTCAAAGTTGCTCTTCTATCAGCTTGAATCAGTCGGCCTATTTTCCTCTGACCTCTAACATCAACAAGGCATTTTCGCCCACAGGACTGCCGCATACTGGATGTTTTTCCCTTTTCACACCATTCTTTGTAAACCCTAGAAATGATTGTGCGTGAAAATCCCAGTAACTGAGCAGATTGTGAAATACTCAGACCGGCCCGTCTGGCACCAACAACCATGCCACGCTCAAAATTGCTTAAATCCCCTTTCTTTCCCATTCTGACATTCAGTTTGGAGTTCAGGAGATTGTCTTGACCAGGACCACACCCCTAAATGCATTGAAGGAACTGCCATGTGATTGGTTGATTAGACAATTGCATTAATGAGAAATTGAACAGGTGTTCCGAATAATCCTTTAGGTGAGTGTATATTGTTTTCAGTAAAGCCCAAATTAAAACACTGTTGTTGTTTTTTTATTTTTTTATTTACCAGGACAATGCATATTAACAACAGTACACCTTTAACTGTGCACCAACTTTCAAAAATTTAGGGTTGGTAAGATTGATTAACATTTTTTGTTAAAGTCTCTTATACTCACCAAGGCTGCATTTATTTGATAAAAAATATAGTAAATCCAGAAATATTGTGAAATATTATTATAATTTAAAATAACCGTTTTCTATTTTAAAATATTTTTAAATGTAATTTATTCATGTAATGCAACGCTGAATTTTCAGCATCATTACTCAGTGTCACATGATCCTTCAGAAATCATTCTAATATGCTGATTTCCAGCTCAAGATATAGTTATTATTATCAATGTTAAAAACAATTGTGCTGCTTCATATTTTTATATAATAGATTTAAGGATTCTTTGATAAATAGGAAGTTCAAAAGAATTTATTTGAAAACATTATACATGTTTTTATTGTCACTTTTGATCAATTGAATGCATCCTTGCTGAATAAACGTGTCAAAACATAAACAGAAGTGTACAGTATATCAATATTAAATCTGCTCAGTCATACTGACTTTGTAACATACTGACTACACATGCCATAACATGGTTTGATTATTTCAACATAGTAGACCATACATAGGTATACAATGGAAAACATTAGTTTTAGCTAAATAAACGTCATGAATTCTAGAATAGACATTCAGATCGAGATTCACTCAAGACATGCTATAATAATTAGTAGAAAATGTGTGCAAAAACAGGACTTGCCCCAACGCTGTCGGTGGTCCAGAACAAATTTAGTATGCTAGTCCAAGCTATTTTTTCCCATACCAAATGAATTCAATGAAATGAAAGATGATGTGCAGGGCACGATAGCTCTCTTTTACCTACAGTGTTTCCCTGATCTGTTTATGTAATGGACATGGCTCTGGTAATTCCTACAATCCTCTCTTTAGACTGCGCAAAATGTCAGTGTTGTGATTGAGGCTTGTCAGACTGATGGCTGCCATGACGCGACGGAAAAGGCCCTGAATCAGGTTCTTCAGAGAACAGCGCTTCAGAAGAGCCAGCTGACAGCGGGAGGGTGATTGACGGCAGAGCTTAAGTGTTCTACGCAAGTATCTGTTTCCACAGCTCTTTATAAAAGAACAGCATGGAATCAGTCAGGGAACTGTGTTCTCAGCTAG